CGCGCCATTGGCCTCTCCGCCCACCGCCCCGCACCCATTGGCCCACTCGCCGCCAATCAGCGGAAGCCGCCGGGGCCGCCTAGAGAAGAGGCTGTGCTCTGGGGCTCCGGCTCCTCAGAGAGCCTCGGCTAGGTAGGGGAGCGGAACTCTGGTGGAAGAGGAGGTGCGGTGTACTGGGGGGGATGGGTGGCTGGGGTGACCGTCTGGTGGCTTGCGGGGGTTGCCTTTCCCGTGGGAAGTCGGGAACATAATGTTTGTTACCTCGGGAGGGAAAGGGGTGGTTGGATGCAGGCGGGAGGGAGGCCCGCCCTGCGGCAACCGGAGGGGGAGGGAGAAGGGAGCGGAAAATGCTCGAAACCGGACGGAGCCATTGCTCTCGCAGAGGGAGGAGCGCTTCCGGCTTGCCGCTTGTCGCTGATTGGCCATTTCTCCTCCCGCCGTGTGTGAAAACACAAATGGCGTATTCTGGTTGGAGTAAAGCGCCTGTCAGTTACAGAGTCGGGAGTGCGCAGCCGCCTGGTGACGCTCGCGATGTCCCCTGGGTGGGGCGGGTAGGTAGGTGGGGTGGGGTGATGCTGGGTGTGCGGGCGCGGCCGGCCTCCCGCGGCTTGAGGGGAGGGTCAGTGAAATTGGGCTCCGGCGCGGGCGTCCTTCCACCCTCCCCTTCCTTCGGGGGAGTCGGTTTACCCGCCGCCTGCTTGCTTTCGACACTTGATTGGCTGCCGATGCTGTGGGAGCGGGCCTTTGCTACTGGCTCGAGTCTCACATGAGCGAAACCACTGCGCGGGGCGCAGGGGTGGCGGGGAGGCGGGCGTTGGTACGGTCCTCCCCGAGGCCCAGCGCCGCAGTGTCTGGCCCCGCGCCCCTGCGCAACGTGGCAGGAAGCGCGCGCTGGAAACGGGGGCGGGCTGCCGGCCGAGACTTCTGGATTGCGACGGTGGCGGCTCCGCCCCGGGTTCCCACCGCCTGAAGGGCAAGACAAGCCCGATATGCTACAGGCACTCGTGGGGGTTGGGGAGGAGCAGGGGTCGGTCCGGCTGGTTTGTGGGTGGGAGGCGCGTGTTCTCCAAAAACCGGCGCGAGCTGCAATCCTGAGGGAGCTGCGGTGGAGGAGGCGGAGAAAAGGCCGCACCCTTCTGGGCAGGGGGAGGGGAGTGCCGCAATACCTTTATGGGAGTTCTGTGCTGCTTCCCGTCTTGTAAGGACCGCCCTGGGCCTGGAAGAAGCCCTCCCTCCTCTCTCCGCCCGCGTGATCTCGTCATCGCCTCCATGTTGAGTCGCTTCTGGATTATGGGCGGGATTCTTTTGCCTAGGCTTAAGGGGCTAACTTGGTACCTGGGCGTTGCCCTGGAGGGGAGTGAGCAGGTGTAAGATTTGAGGGGCGAGTCCGATTAGTTATCTTCCCACGGACTTGAGTTGGTGTCGAGGTTATTGTAATGAGGGTGGGGTAGGGAAATAGAGCCTAGTCATTCACCTGGGGCTGATTTTATGCAACTAGAGTGCAGATTATCACTACTTACCATTTTTGGAGTGTTTTTCTAGAGATAGACGTAGATTAAAGCATGATCACCTAAGTTTTATGCCTTTTAAGACCCTTGCTGCACCCCCAAAGTGTAGCATCAGATTAAATCTTAATAGAAAAATTTTAGCCTTTGCTTGAGAAACCAGTGCTTCCCTCCCTCCACCTCCCCCCAGGCTCTCTCCCCCTTTGCATCCGTACCAGGCATCTTAGCACCTCTCACTCATACTTGATCCCATTTTCCATTTGTTGTACTTGCTCATCCAGTATTCAGACATAGCACTAGCTTTCTCCCTCTCTTGATCTTGGGTAGCCGGGTGACTCACGAAACCAGACAGATTGGTTCCACCACAAATTAAGGCTTGAGCTGGGGCCTTACTCTTACCCAGCAGTGCTTTTATTCCTCCCTAGTTCTCGTTCTTTAAGTGTTTACCTGGATTTTCATTTTATCCTTTTTCCTTAGCTGGGATTCTATCCCTGACCCTCTTCACAGTCCAGGTGATCTTGACTACTGCTTTACAGAGAATTGGACCTGAGGTTAGGCAACATCTCCCTTTCTCTTCCTCTAAATACCTTTCGAGGCATCCCTTTATTTCTGTTCTCAACAGTTAGTAACTGAGCTCAGATGCCTGTGTGACAGCTTCCAAATTGCTGTCTCTGTGTTTAGTGTTATATTCTGATCCATCTTACATCTTGTTAGAATGATTGTCCTAAAGGAAGATAGAACGTGAAAATGACAGATGAAACTCCATTACTGGCTTGTACTGTTTACAGCAAGTTGTCTAACCCGCGGGGTGCATGGGACCCAGGACAGCTTTGAATGCAGCCCAAGACAAATTTGTAAACTTTCTTAAAATGTTAGATTTGTTTGCGGGGTGTTTTTGTTTTTTGGTGGTGGTGGTGTTTTTTTGTTTCTTTTTTTCTCATCAGCTATCCTGTATGTGTGGCCCAGGGAAGCCAAAAGATTGGACACCCCTGGTTTACAGGATGAATTGTGTCCTCGTGAATGTGATGCATAAGGTCCCCGGATAGACTTACCTCAATTTAACAGCTTTTTCATTTTTCACTATTTTCCACATATTACACGCACAAACATGACCTCTCTCCTGAAGTCACATGGAATGAATTGCAGTTACCCAAATCATAGACATTGTCATGTATCTTTGTGAAGTGGTTCTTTCTGGAATGCTACCCTTGCTGCTTTTAGTCCTGCAGATTCAAATGTCATCTCCCCTTTGGTCATGCCTTCCATGGTCTGTTGTTCTATGAGCCAAACTCCCCTATTGAAAAAGGAGTTTTCTCCTGAGCAGTTTGTACTGCGTGGCTCATAGTACTTCTCGGGTTGTTGTCATTGCTGATTTAAACTATCTTAACTATTCTGAGCTTTTTGAAGGAACAGTGTCTTGTGTCTTGTACTCCTGAGCTCCTAGTATACTCTGATGTCTAGCGAACCCTAAGTAAGTGGACTGAAGCGACATGTAAATGTCTTTATGGTTTGACATTTTATTCATCTTGAGCATTGGAAAAGTGGCTGGCATGACTGAAGAACTGAATTTTATCTAATTTAAATTGCAACTGTGGACAGTGTAGCTGTAGCCCCAGACTTATTCTGTGGATTACAGAATACATGGACATTGATTGTTTCTTTGTATTGAGCAATAAGGAAATAAAAGCTGAAGCTCTCTGGCCCATTAAATTTTATTTAACTGCTTGTTTTATTTTTTTATATATTTAGCTGAAAGCTAAGTCCAACAAACCATTTTTAAAGATGTGCCTGCCTTGGACAACAGTGAAAGCAAGTGTTAATGAGTTTGGATTTAAAAAAAAATGTATAATGAATTTTAGGGAGGTGAGATTCCATTAAACTGTTACAGGAGCTACATAGTTAAATATATCAGAACTTAAATGAAGAATAGGTCTGTATGATATAAATGGCACCCAGCCTAAATTTCTGTCCTACAAGTTTTTACTTCTTGGAAACACTTGATTGGAGGAGCTCTAAGCATCATATCTTGAGTTACAGAAAACAATCACAAAGTAAGTTTTATCTGAGGAATTATAATACCAACATTTTAACACCAAATGCTTTTTATATGCTAATATAGTATCTTATACATTTTAATTATCTTTTTTTTTTTTGAGATGGAGTCTTAGTGCCACCCAGTCTGGATTGCAGTGGTGTAATCATGGTTTACGCAGCCTTAACTTCCTGGGCTCAAGTGATCCTCCTGCCTCAGCCGCCTGAGTAGCTGGGACTACAGGCATATGCTTCCATGCCCAGCTAATTTTTTTGTGTTTTTTTTGTAGAGATGGCGTTTTGCTGTGCTGTGCAGGTTAGAACTCCTGGGCTCAAGTGATCTTCCTGCCTAAGCTTCCCAAAGTCCTGGGATTACAGGCGTGAGCCACCGCCCTGGGCCATTAAATATACTTTTAAAAATACATTTAAAAAATACATTTTAAAGTTTCTCTTTAGAAAATAAGACCCTTAGGTCAGCGGTCTTCAAACCTCCTGTGTGCTGAGAGTTCTCTTAATGCAGATTCTCAGACCACCCAAAAATTCTGAATTCTTTTGGGGAAGGTGGAACCCCATAGAACAGGCAGTATAATTCAGTATCTTTTCAAGTTGATTTGCTGACTCGGATATGCCTATTTACCTGCCAAAAATGATTACAATTTCAGAGAAACTCTTCTCAATTGTACAGTATGTGTCCCTCAATTTTTCCTCAAATGAACTGTTTTTTCCTCCTAAAAAACAACAATGGGAATTTTGAGAGGCAAGAGGAATAGTAATATTTTTGGAAACTTGCAGGTCAGGTTTTCCTTTTAAAAGGAATGTTGAAATACATTTTTTTGAACAAGAGAAGTTCACCTTATTTGTGTTTCTCCTGCTTAATTGCAATCCTTAAGGAAAGTGATTTGTTTTTCAGTGCCTAAGCACAGAGCTGGGAGCTCAATAAATGTTAGTTTTGTTGGTTTATATGTGAAATTGATTCTTCAGTAATAGTTAAGCTCACAAAACATATAAACAAGGCTACTTTTTGGGAGAGACTTCAGGGTCACATTTAACCTGTGTCTCCTAATATTCTATTCATAGAGGAAACTGATGCCTCGTGGTCTCTGAAAACATCTATCCCACCATTCAGTTCTTTGGGTTTCCTGTATTAACCATTGCAGTTATCCTTTTCCTGTGCTTTACTTCCTTGGGCTTTTTGTTTAAATTAACCAGCTACCTATCTCCTTTTCAAGTAGTTACATACTACTACTTATCCTTGTAAGACAAATTTATTAAGTATATTACACACTTGTACTTGCATGAGAAAGCTGGTGAAAGTTTAGTGAGGGCTAGTGTGTGTGTGTTAGATTTGCAAAATTTAAACTAGATAGGTTACTTCCATATATTTTTTGTGAATGGAGGTTTGGCATAATTATATAATTCTGGTTTGCAACACTCTAGTTTGACTATTAGGTTAATTGTAGAGCACCTTGTTAGGTCGCAAATCCAGAAGTCTGGTACTGGACTTGCAGGTTGCTTTCTTAGTGGCATATTAGTTTATATTAGAGGACATACTTCTCAAGAAGACTTCTTATCCGTGACTCTCTCTTCTTGAGATTGGATAATATATTGGATTATTAGAGACGTGTTAGTACTGAATCAAATAGTTTTATCTAGACTAGGGTTAATCCTGATGAATTGTTTCTGCTTCTGTTATGCAGTGTATCTTCTTGGTGACAAACACTTTCTGCCTCTGATTTTTATTTTAGTCATGGTTACATTTAATAATCCTGCTTTCCAGCTTTTTTCCTAGAGATCAGTCATCAGTGACCTTTTGTTTGTCCTGATACTTTGTCACCTTTTGTTTTCTGGTTTTGGGTTTTTTTTTTTCTTTTTTAAACGTATGTAAAATTGACTTTTCCTGCTGACAATAGTAACATAGTTTCAGATCATGTTTATAGAATGGTTATTTTATCACCTAACTAATCTCATCTCTGGTGTATGGATTCTGGTAAACTCAGTCAATAGTCTTCATAGCCTTTTCTATTTTTACTGACCTTGATTTAAAATCTAATCTCAGACCTTCAGGTACTGCTTACAAATAATGTAATAATGAGGTGGTACTAATAACAAATAATGGTAACATACTCTAGTGCATACTATAGGCAAAAGCTAATGGAGACTTCGGTAGAAGAAATGAACTAATAATAGTTACTGAATACCTTTTGTGTACTGCAGATGTGGAAATAGCAAGAGAACTAGAATTGGAAGTACAGTGTTGAAGATGTGACTGAATTGCTGCAATCTCATGATCAAATTTGAATGGATAAGGAGTTGCTTCTTAGGGATGAGCAAAGAAAGTGGTTTTTTGAGATGGAATCTACTGGTGAAGTTGCTGTGAACATTGTCAAAATGACCATAAAGGATTTAGGTATTACAGAAACCTGGTTGATAAAGCAGTGCCAGGGTGTCAGAGTTGACTTCAATTTTGAAATAAGTTCTACTGGCTGGGTGTGGTTGCTCACGCTTGCAATCCCAGCTGTTTGGGAGGCCAAGGCTGGTAGATCACTTGAGGTCAGGAGTTCAAGACCAGCCTAGCCAACATGGTGAAACCCCATCTCTACCAAAATTAGCCAGGTGTGGTGGTGCACACCTGTAGTCCCAGCTACTTGGGAGGCTGAGGCAGGAGAATCTCTTGAACCAGGGAAGAGGAGGTTGCAGTGAGCCAAGATGGCACAACTGCACTCCAGCCTGGGCAACAAAGTGAGATTGTCTTTAAAAAAAAAAAAAAAAAAAAAAGGGGGGGCTGGGTGCAGTGGCTCACGCCTGTAATCCCAGCACTTTGGGAGGCTGAGGTGGGCAGATCACCTGAGGTCAGGAGTTCGAGACCACCCTGGCTAACACGGTGAAACCCCATCTCTACTAAAAATACAAAAAATTAGCCGGGCGTGGTGGCACATGCCTGTAATCCCAGCTACTCAGGAGGCTGAGGCAGGAGAAGGGTGTGAACCCGGGAGGTGGAGCTTGCAGTGAGCTGACTGCACTCCAGCCTGGGGAACAGAGCGAGACTCAGTCTCCAAAAAAAAAAAAAAGGAAAAGAAAAAAAAAGTTATACTGTGGGTAAAATGCTGTCATGCTATCAAACAGCATCACGTGCTACAGGGAAGTCTTGTGAAAGGAAGTCAGTGTGGCAGACTTCATTGTCTTTTAAGAAATTGCCACAGCTATCCCAATTTTCAACCACCACCACCACCCTGATGAGTCAGTAGCCATCATTAACATTGATGCAAGACCCTCCACCAGCAAAAAGATTGTTAGCATTTTTTTGGCAGTGACGTATATCAATTACACATAATGCTACTGTACACTTTTAATATAGACTATGGTATAGTGTAAGCATAACTATACGCACTGGGGAACCAACCAATTCATGAGATTCGCTTTATTGCAGTGCTCTGGAATTGAGCCTGCAGTGTTTCTGAGGTATACCTGTGTGTTTAGTATGTTCCTTATATATACAACCCCATTTTACAGAGTAGGAAACTAAGGCTTAGAGTTTGAGCAATTTTCCCATAGATACACCAATAAATTGAGGGCTACAGAGACCACTTAATTGGTTCTCTTAACAGTAGTCTAGACATGAGGTAATGAGATTTGGCTTAGGAGTGACAATGGTAAGGAAGTTAAAGGATTCAGGAACCAAATATCAGTTATTGAGAAGAGAGAATGGTCTCAAAATATCACTTCTCAAGGAAGCCGTCTTGATACCCTCACCCCTACTACACTGTATCCTCCATCTGAATGTTTCAAGAACTCTTCTCACAATTGTAAATAATAATTGTATAATTTTGTTTTTTTCCTACTTTAGGTTGCTCCTTGCGGACAGGACAGTTCTTATGGCTTTATCCGTTGCCTAAGCACAGAGAGGTCTGCGAGATCAAAACTATTGTCATGATAGCAAGATGCCTGCCTTTTTCATTTATTCTGACAGTGTACAGAGGCTGCATGATGTGTGATGACATCCTCATTGATGTTAATGAATGGTGCTGTACTGAAATTTCTAAGGTGTTGTTAGGTTTAGGTATGCATACTTGTTTTTAGAAATTATTTTTTTCCCCTTTTCCCATTTTTAGAAATCAACTCACTTTTTAGGTTATGCCTTCAGTAATCTTTGCAACCTCAATATTCTACAATTGTTATTTTAAAATACTGTAGTTTTCTTTGTGCCTAAGCATAAACATAAGTACATTTTGTTGTTTGTTTTGTTTGCAATAGTGGTTTAAATATTTTCCCAGAATATCCAATTTTAAAAATTTTACAACTTTAGAATAACTTTATTCTAAAATATTTATATTTTTCTCATTTAAGAAGGGATCGATGGCTTAAAAAGACTGCTTCTCATTTACTTATCGGCTATACCATCTGTATACTAATAAAAAACAAGATTGATTTGGAAGGACTGACTCAAACTAATGAAAATATGAAACCTGTCATTCTACTTTGGAGATACTTACCTTATCATGTCTGCAGTAGAATAATTTAGTTCTTTTGTCTTTTTTTGGAGATGAGGTCTTGCTGTGTTGCCCAGGCTGTTCACAGGTACCATCATAGTCTACAGCCTGAAACTCCTGGGTTCAAGCGATATTCCTGCCTCAGCCTCCTGAATAGCTGGAGCTATAGGCATGTACCACCAAGTCTGGGCTTTAAAAAAATTTTTTTACATAATTTTTTTTGAGACAGGATCTTGCCATGTTGCTCAGGCTAGTCTTCAACTCCTAGCCCAGAGTGATCCTGCCTCCCAAAATGTCGAGTTGTTAAGCGTGAGCTGCCATACCCGGCCAAAAATTTTTTTAGAGATGGGAATGGAATGATTTTGAATAGTGTTGGTGCCACCTATGTTGTGGCATCATTTTGAAACTAATCATTCAGAGTGTTTTTTTTTTTTTTTTTTTTTTTGGTAAGGCATTTTTTAATGCAGGTATGCCACTACTGTAAAAAAAAAAAAGTTTTAAAGCTAGAAATGAAAACACTACTTAAGTATCTGTTACTTTGTTATACTCTAGAAACATACACAATAGCTGAGAAACTTTAAAAATCTCACATTGCTGAATGTCTCTGCTGGCTGAAGTGTAAGTAAAAGATCACAGTAGTGCCACTGTTGAGTGGTACAGCAACTTGTCATTAAAGATGTGTGTGCAGACATGAATTCTGAGTTAATATCTCATCTGTAGAAGTATACATTTGTCCC